AGTCCATCAATTAAGGGCTTGTGAAGTGAAAAACTGTTTTCACATATTTTGGCCTGAAACAACATTTAAAGTTAAATTGCCTTAATGATGAATTTGTTTCTTACCAATATGCAGTTTTTTACTTCTCAAGACATTAATTGACTGACTGGAGTGGTGTGGATTACTTGTGGATTATTGTGATGTTTGGACTCTCATTCTGACGGCACCCATTCACTGCAGAGAATGTGTATGGCATTTTATAGTTTTTCTGTTCAAATGACTAACATTTCCATTTTCTGTCTGTCAATAATTTGCTGACTAATCTCTCAGTTGCTTGGACAGTGAGTGGACTGTGGTGGTCTCATTCTGGTTCATCGTGTGAACGCTGAGCCTGAAGGCAGGTTTTTGCTGACATGGTGTGTATAGGAGGGCAGATATTTTTACTCTCCCATCTGTTCCGCACCGTGCCGTAGTTTTACTTTGTAGCGTCCTTGGTGTGCGTCTAGGGATCTGTTCTACATACCACTTATTTGAGCCCCTCCGCTGCAGTTGTTTACAAATAATGTGGAGTGAATTCATCTGTCCTGATGAAGCCTGAGAACCTTTATTATTGATCTTAACACATGAAACTTTTAGCAACTCTTTGGTGCTTTGTATGAAATGTGACTGATTCATGCTGCTTGAAATGTTCAGCTCTAATGGATGCACATGCATTATAACTGTTTCTGGTTGCATTTGAAGTGGATATTTTGCTTAGAGGAAAACCATCGAAGACAAAGTCTGTGTCCTATATACTTCAGACCTAGTTTCAGAGGCTGAGTGAAAGAGTGTTTGCAGGAAATCCTTCAACAATAAGCACAAAAATATTGTACATGAATAATACATTTTAAAAAATTCAGAATTCTGCTCTTTCAAAGTTACTTATTCTGGTGGTCTCACAATTTGAAATAATTATTGCATTAATGTCAGCCAATGAATGTCTTTTTTCCAGTACAAATATCTAAACTAGATTTTGAAGCTTGTTTTTTGAAAAATGTATTACAATTAAGTGAGTTTAAGCTTAAAACAAAAAAAATACCTTGTTTAAAGGTATTAATAAACGTTACTATTTTGAATTAAGATTATTATTTGCTTACCTCACTGACAGATATTTTTTCTTGTTTTAAAGGAATAGTTTAACCAAAAATGGACATTTGCTGAAAATTTACTCACCCCCAGGCCATCCAAGATGTAGATGAGTTGTCTCTTCATCAGAGCAGATTTAGGGAAATGTAGCATTCCATCCCTTGCTCACCAATGGATCCTATGCAGTGAATGGGTGCCGTCAGAATGAGAGTCCAAACAGCTGATAAAAACATCACAATAATCCACATGTAATCCACACCACTCCAGTCCATCAATTAACATCTTGTGATTTAAAAAACTGTGTGTTTGTAAGAAACAAATCCACCAAGATGCATTTTTGTGTGTGTGAAGAACATTTCAACAATCTAAAGAAGCTGTTTCCAAATTTTTGTGGAATGGAAAGATTCCATGGATGTCAAAGTTTCTTCCTGGAACCATAAACTCCAAAACCTTTATTTTAAGAGTGCATGTGATATATTTTAAACATTTAAAAAATTGTTTGCCAAAATATCCATGAATTACTAAATGAAGGCCAAACTGGTATCTGTGGGGTAAAGTGTGTCAGTGGCTCTGTTCATAATGACAATAGCTTTCCAGCAAATAAATACTGTTACCATTGGTCTGTTGTCAGCGCTCCATTGAATTGTTTTCTGAATGTTAAACCTTTTCCTGTCTGGTTGCGAGGTCATTGTGAGAAATTTTCAGCAAAATAAGCGCTCATAAATTGTTCACATATTCCATAAACCTTCCCCTTTATGCAAGACACAACTTACCCTGAGCAAACTCTGTCATGGGACACAAGAGACTGTATTTGTGTGCGATGGGTAAAGCGGTGGCTTCATATGAGTGAGCAGATGGCTCTCATGGAGAAGCGGATGATCACTGTGCTGACGTACAGAGCCTGAGAATCACACAAGGAGAGGGAAGCTGGACAGAAGAGAGTCCACAGGACACACGAGGAGCTGCAACGCAAACCAAACATGACCTTTCTGCAAATATGTTTTTGACCTTGACAAGTCTGTATATGTGGGGTCCACATTGCAAATCTGTGATTTTCATAAACAGAAAGAAGTTTTAGGATTAAACTAATTAAAAAAAAGTTTTAACATGAAGACATTTTTTCACTTTTTTGGCAACACTTTACAAGAAGGATCCATTTGTCAATATTATTAACTACATAGTTGCATGAACCTGAACTTAAAAAATATTGTATACTAATACATTGCATTTAATGATCTTACTTCATGTTAATGTCAACGTTTACTAATACATTCTTTAAAAATCAAAAGGTGATCTATAATTTGTCACTATCAGTGTTACAAGAAATGTGTCTACACTATATCCAAATACATTGTATACACAACTGTATATTATTATTATTATTATTAGTATGCATCACAACTGTTCGTTAATATTATTGTTACATTTGTTTCTATAATCTCCCTATCATATAGGCTATTGAAAGGCTGTGGAAAATATCTACACTACATTCCATGTTTATTCATATATCTGTCTTTGGTTTCGGTACCTTTTTTTTCTGTTCTTTTTTTGTTGTTGTTGGTGTTGTTTGTTCACTTTTCTGTACTCTGTCTTGTCTACTGTAATTTTTTCAATCAAAAAAAAATCAAAAAAAATCAAAAGTTGAATCTGATATTATTTAATGGATGTTAGCTAACATTAACTAACAATGAACAGTGCTTTTAAGATGGCCATTTGTGCTGTAGTAAATTAATAGTTTCTCTGAATTGTTTTTCCTTAAAATGCTTTTTTTTTTTTTTTGCCACAAGAGACATTGGTAAAATCAAATAAATATTTTACAAGATTTATACCAGACTTTATATTTATACTAGCCTATTTATTGTAGACTTTTTAGACTCTAAACTAATCGCAAAAATACATTACTTAAAAAACAAACAAATATTATTAAATATAAGTAATATTATTGTATTAATTATTTTTGATAATAATAGTAATAATAATATTTAAATATACTATAGTTTTGTATATTCCTATACAAGATTTATATTGTATTTATAAATATTTACCTATATTGATTAAATGTAATCATATATTATTATTATTCAGTGTATACTAAATTAAAACTGAGCAAAGCCATTACGATGGATGATTGCCTTAATCTTCATCATAATCATCATTTAATGGATCTGAGCTATTATGAACTAACAATCAGTTGTATTTTTATAAACTAATGTTAGCAAATATTAATAAATACTGTAACAAATGTATTGCTCGTTGCTGGTTAATGCATTAACTAACATTAACTAATGGGACTGTTACTGCTGCTCTCAGATAGTATTGCTGATGATGCTATAATTAAGGCATTATCTCTTATAATATAGAGATCGTGTTATTTTCATTTAATATTCAACATATGAATCACCTCATTCATGTCAATGCTGATTTGGGATGTAAGAATGATTATGGCTCCATCTAGTGGGTGTAACACAGACTGTCCTCTAATTCAGTTCTGCTTTCAAGGAGGCCAGTGTTTAAATTAATAGTTTACCTGACTGATTTGTTGCTTAAAATTAACCAAGTTTGTTGTTTGCCCATAATGAAGCAGAAATGGTACAATTTCAAATGTTTAAAAGTATAGTTTAAGTTTAAAGTTTATTTTAAAGCCATTTTGATGATAATGCAACCAATATACAAATCACAGTATTTGGATCCACTATCCAAAAACACATCATATACTGCAGTTATTATGTATGCACAGTATTATTTAGGATTTTGTAATATTTTCTGCATAGACAGTAGTGTAGGATTGAAAATTACATCATTAATCTCCTGAGACACTGAGAGGAGACCCTGGAGACTGTGTGTTACTAAGCATCCGGAAACAGCAGCCGTGTCTGCCACAGGCTTTATTGAGAATATTTTGTACCCAGACTGAGTCCCAGACGACCTGAACAACCAGTACTGTAACAGAGAGAAAGCTGTTGAGTTAATTAGTTATACTGTTAACGGCACTCTTTTCTAAAACATTTGAGTATAAATGTATATGTACGGTTAAAGACAAAATTATTAGCCCCCTATAAAATATTTCATTATTATTATTATTTTTTTTCAACACAGTGTTTCTAAACACAATAGTTTATTTAGGAAGCTAGGAATGTTAGTAATACAAATAGAAACAAAATTATAACCAAGAATAAAAAAGTCTACAGGTCAAAATTATTAGCCCTCTGGTGTTAATAGTCAATGGTGTATCCCTTTTGCTTGATAACAGTCTTTAGTCTTTTGTTGTAGTTCTCAACAAGTTTCAGGCATGTCTCCTGAGGAGTCGCAGTCCATTCCTCCTTAGCTAATCTCTCAAGCTCCTCCAGATTTGTTGGTCTCCTAGCATGGACTCTGGTCTCCAGGTTGCCCCACAGATTTTCTATTGGTTTCAAGTCTGGGCTTTGTGCAATACTCCCACTGCCATGTTTCACTCTGGAGACAGTGTTCTTTGGGTTGAGCGCCTGTCCCTTCTTACTCCAAACATAGGCAAGATCTCTATGGCCTAAGAGCTCTATTTTTGTCTCATCTGACCAAAGGACATGATTCTAGTATACATAGTTTTTCTCCAGGTTGTCCTTCAAACTTCAGTCTTGGAGGTGTCTCTTCTTCAGAAGAGGTGCTTTTCTTGGTTGGCAACCTCGCAGTAATATTATTGGATTATTTATTTTATATTGATTCCATATAACCGTATTATTATTGAGTGTACTAAAATAAATCCGATTAAAGCCATCAGGGTGGGTGCTGCCCTCATCTTCATCACAATCATCATCTAATGTTGGAACTGTTGACTTTCCTGAAGGTTATTTTAGACAGCTGCCACAGGCCAAGCGCGCTGATCCTGAGTCAGTGCGCCGCAGCGGCGTCTCTCCCGCACATCCGGGTGTCGCCTCCTCAACGCAGACGCGTCGCGGTGATTGCAGCGCTCTGCGTTTCCGCGTTAGCAGCGGGGGGAACCAGCCGAGGGTAGGGAACGGACCACAGCGAGATTGGTCAAATCTAACTGGATTACGCTGCCCGTGTCGCGATTAAAATGAAAAAGAAGTGATTTTCGAGTCGGCGGCCGTGTTTAGGAAATGAGTGTGGGATTATGACACGAGACGGGATGACAACACTGCCTGACATGTGAGACATCAGGACAAATACAACAACAGTGCGCTTGTGTGGCTGTCTCCGCCACCGTCTGTTTATGCTCGCTCTGCTGATGCACATTTTGCATTCGTTTCGCATTTGCTGGGAGGCAATATGAAGAAGTTTAATATCAGGAAGGTGTTGGACGGCTTGACTGCGGCGTCCTCTTCCTCCTCCGCCGCCGCTGCCGCGTCCCCTCAGTCTGGAAACAGGGAGAATGACATGATTCAGGAGACTCTGCAGTCAGAGCATTTCCAGCTCTGCAAGGTGGGATTAGTTACTGTGATCTCATATGGGGGGGGTGAGTGAGTGTGGAGGTGAGTGAGTGGCGCCAACTCGCCTCAATATTCTAATTACAAAAGCAGCTCGCCAACGGTCGATGGTTTTCAACTCGGTTAAAACAAAACACCTCAGAATCGGTTTTAACCATCACCGGCTGGAATAACCACCCAGAGCTCGGTTCACGAGATTAATCGCTCGTGTGACGCCCGAGTTGACCATTGACGAATTGGTGGCTGTTATTTTAAGACCGAATATTTGGTTCACCCCAAAATGAAAATTCTGTCATTAATTAACGTTACTCACCCTTGTTCCAAACCTGTAAGACCTTCGTCCATCTTCTGAACACAAATTAAGATATTTTTGGAGAAATCGGAGAGCTCTCTGACCCTGCATAGACAGCAACGCAACTGAAATGTTCCCAGACCCAGAAACGTTTGTTTGGAGAGTACCACCTTTCCCCAGAACGTAAACAAGGCTGATTACCTTGATTACTTTCTGGGGAAAGCACAGGCATGTCTTGGTACCCTCAAAAATGGCGGAGGATGTTAACTCGGGGAGTAGAATTGTTGAATAAATTATTTTTGTTTTCTTTGCTCACAAAAAGTATTCTTGTAGCTTTGCAAAATTGAAGTTGAGCCACTGATGTCACATGGATTTTTTTTACCGATGTCCTTATTACAACGTTTCTGGGTCTGGGAACATTTCAGTTGTGTTGCTATCTATGCAGGGTCTTAGAGCGCTCAGATTTCATCAAAAATATCTTAATTTGTGTTCCGAAGATGAACGAAAGTCTTATGGGTTTGGAACGACATGATGGTGAGTAATTAATGACAGAATTTTCATTTTGGGGTGAACTAACCCTTTAACGTGCAGATTACTTTTTGGAACGAGCGGAACTGATTCATGTTAGGATGAGGTAGAATGACAGACTCATTTATGTCATATTTCAAGGCGTGCCAGTCTCGTCTGTCAAGAAATACCTGTGCTTAATGTTTTGTCTAGTAGTTTAATTCAGATTGTAGAACAGATTGGCTCCTTTGCTAGTGTGAACGGATAGTTTGTGTTCCAGTTCGCTGACTGTGGAAAATCGTAGTAGCTAAATGGTTCAAGTTAGTTTAAGGCCCCGTTTACACTAGTGCGTTTTCGTTTTTAAACAGCGTTTTAAAATGAAAACAATCCTTCTCTACACTGGCATTTTCGTTTCAGAAACGATCCGTCCACACTAGGGGTCGACCGATATGTGTTTTTCAAGGCCGATGCCGATACCGATTATTACAGATCAAGTAGACCGATAACCGATATTTTGAACCGATATATATGCCACACTACACAACCGAAATTCTGTCATTGTTTACTCATCCTGTATAAACATGTAGACCTATAGGTTTCTTTCTTCTGTTGAACACATAATTTTCATTTTTGGGTGAATTATCCCTTTAATCTCACTTGTTATTATCTATAATACATTTTTATATGTTTTTGTTTCTTAATTGTCACGGGTTTTATATGCTGTTATAATTAATAATTATTATGCTGTTTGTGGGTCAAACTGACCTTAACCGATTCACCAAGAATCAAGCTATGAAAATAGTAAATAATAACCATTCAAAACAATTTTATAACAAAACTGACTTAACAAAAACAAAATATTTCACAACAATACAATAAGAGAACATCTGATAACTATGTAACATTTTTTACATGGTTTAATGAACAAATATTACATATGTCAACATTTACTCAATAAATATTTAGTCTTTTCATTTTCACAAACTGAATCTACATACAGTAGTGACAACTTTTTAAAGTTTCAAATGTTATGTTTGAGCTTTTGGAATGGATCTTTATCCCTATAATAAGGCATGTTATTTTGCATTTTAGATATGTGCTTTCTGCATATTTAATTGTAATCACAACATGAATGCTCTGGTAACCAGCAGGCTGTATTGGTTGGGCTTTTGTTAGACATTATAAAATAGTCCTTGTAATACCAGAGCATGTATATGTGGTAATCATTCAGTACCATGGTAAATATTAGAGTATTACCATTTGATATCATCACTGTACCATGGTATCACTACATTAATTCACATGTTAGTCAGCTGTCAACTTCAGCTTCTCAGCGTCTTGTTGTCTGAACCTCATCTGTAATATCCATTTTAATTTCTAACTAATTAAATCCTAATTGAAACCCCTGGCCCCTACCTCATTACTAAAACCACTAATAAGAAGACAGGCCTTGCTAAATTTGAATGATTTGTGTTTTACTGAATTGTTATATAACTATAAATTAAAATAGTTGTTTTTAATAACTGAGGGTCCATTTTTAACAACAACAACAATTTTAATTTATAGTTATAACAATTCAGTAAAACACAAATCATTCAAATATTTCCATGGAACACAAACAGCCAATTTTTGTAGATATTTATGCATGCAATAACATGTCTGTAAAGCTCCCAAAAAACATGTTAAACATGCTTTATATTCCTAGTCCTCTGAGGCAATATAGAATTATTGATATACTATTATAGTTTTTGTTAATATTTTGAAAAGGATTTTATTTCTGTATATTTATATTTTCAATTTTAATTTTAATTTTAGTACGTTTTAGTAATTTAGTCTTGTATGTTTTAATAATTTTATTACTTTTTTTTACTAGTTTTAATAGTTTTTTGGTCATTTTTATAATTTTTTTTAAGTGTCTACTACATAGTTTGTATTATTTTTGTTTTTGTTTTTTTTATTTGTATGTCAGCTTAAGCTAAATGAAAATGAGCTTTGGCAACTAGCTGAAATAAAATAAGTTTACTTTTTATATTCTATTTTATTTTATTTTAGCTAATTGTTATTTTATTTCAAGTGACGATGTTTTATTTTATTTTTTATTTTTTTTAGTTTTAGGTAAAGATAATAACCCTGCTTTGTATGAGGAACAGATTGAAATATAGGTTATTTCCTAAAAAAAGTTCTGAAAAAAAAATTAAAAGAAATAAAAGAAAAGAAAATTTGTCTGAAAAACACCATATTTTTAAATTTGTGCATTGTGTTTAGTTACAGACATTATTATCAGCAAATCATTACTCACATTTCTGTTATTTCCTCATACGAAGTGATCTTTTGGCTTCAGAAGACTTATAGAATATAGTGCACTTGATGGTCAACACAGGTTTTGATCCAAATGCCAGTAAGAATTTTCATTTTTGTGTGAACTGTTCCTAAGAACACCATTGTCATGTTTGTAATTTAATGCAAATCATCTTCTGCTTCACAGACAGTGCGACATGGCTTTCCCTATCAACCCTCCTCCATGGCTTTTGACCCTGTGCAGAAAATTCTGGCTATTGGCACACAAAGTGGAGCCCTGAGACTGTATCCTTTATTTGAAGAGCTGGCAACATACCCAGCCTAACTTACCTGGGGAAAAATAAGTGTCAAATGCCGTCGTGTTGTTTGTGTATATTTAAACAAAGGCAGTCCTCCCACCCTTCTGTGCTGGAAGTCTTGTTGCACAAAGTAATTGACTTGTTCAAAGCTGCTGTTTTTTACTAAACACCACAGAAACATATGATTATGTAAGTTGCAAAATACAAGTAACAACATCCTCTGGCAAATCAGCTTCTAAAAGCCTTGTTGTTCCCCCAGGAGATATGAATATTTACCCTAGAGAAGCATCATAGGAGCTACTGACTCAAGTAACATGAAAAACTAAAGGAAAGACACCCGGGCTTGTGGAAAAATTAGCGTTAGCAAATCAACATGCCTAGTAGGGCTACACGATAAATCGAAATTGAATCGAGATCGCGATTCGACAGAAGCTGTGATTGTCATGCGTATCTTTCAGTGAAGCACGGTTCTGTGATCAGCAGTAAATCTCCATCCAAAGGCCAGAGGGCGCTCTCGCGCTGAAACTCCAAATACGCCTCGCAGAAGAAACCCAGAAAATGCCTATTGCTGCAGCTGAATAAACACCATCTGAAAGCACGTGATGATGATTTCCTGCTGATTACAGAACCGGCATTACTATCAAAATGCGCATGACAATCGCATTCGATTAATCGTGCAGCCCTAATGCCTAGTAATATTGATCGACTGATGTGTTACTCAGTAACGATGTTAATGCCAATATCTAAGGCAGGGTGGCTGATATAATGCTGATATCTAATATAATATATATTAACTGTGGTAAAAAAAAATGTGGCTCGTTGCTTTAAAAAAATGGCGGAAACTCGGGTTGCGCCGATAGACGATGCCATCGTCCATCGCCGATGGCTGATAGACTTCACGATGTTGAGCCGGCATCGCGATTCCCCCTCCCCCGCAATCCGCCGCGTCCCAATACCGTGTTCGGAAAGAAAATGACGTGTAATACGGAACCCCTAAAGGGAATAAATAATTTGGTAGACATCGCCCAACCATAGCGGAAACAATAAAATTTCGTTTTAAAAATGTAAAAATCTCATATATATTAGCCTGGTCGCATATCTACAGTACCTCCATTGCTTGGCTAAAATGCAAGGTCAGTTGATTCCAGGCGGTAAAAATCAAAGCAGCCCGTTTCTCACAGAGTCATGTATACAAGCAGCCTCATTTCAGAGGCACATTTCCTAGAAGCAGGGTCTTTATTCCTAGAGTAGCTGCGCTCATTAGTGATATCTCCACTGTGGCATGAGCAGCTCCACTGCCATATGTTGCAGAGCTCGTCTCATTATTGGTGCTGCTGACTTATCTGCCAGAAAACCACCTCGCACGTGCTGGAAACATAGCTGGTCCTGCTGGGCATGTTTGTTAGAGCCACACACACAGCAAAGCTGCTTCAGCTTATTTCTGAGTGTTTTCATGTTCAGATATACACCACGCCATTGTTTCTGTTGAAAGAAACATGGCTACAGAGTAGGGCTGGGTGGTATATATTGTGCAATGGTAGAATTTTTAAATATATTTTTTAATGGTATTTTTATCATGGTTTTCACAAAATCCAAAACAGATAACTTAGAACATCACAATGCAAACTAAAAAAAAAAAAGAGAGAGAGAGAATAAGACAAACCTTTCATATTTCTTTTCTTACAATCTGTAAATAGTTGCTGAAAATAATTGTTACATGCAAATAAACAAATAAATAAATAAAAGTAGTCATTGTAGATTCAGTTTTAATTGTTAAATCAAATGACAGCAATCAAAAAGCATGTCTAATTAATTAAAATAATGAAAATTCTACAATTTAACAACAAATTGTTTAAAGTTAATTTTTAGGGCCCTATGAAATTGGTTTTATTTTTCTCAAATTCTGTGTTTTCCATTTTATTTTTTTGCTTGATTTAAATTACATTTCTGTAATCAAAAACAAGAAAATGTACACAAATTAACAATAATTTAATGAAAGTTAAAATAATTTTTTTAGGGCCCTATAAAATATGTTTAATTTTTTTCCCAAATTCTGTTTTATTTTATTCAAAATTTTATTTTTTCTATTCACATTTTTTCCGTATTATGTTTTCATTGTTAAATTAATTTTCAGTAATCAAAAATTGTGTCGTAATTAATTGAAATAAGGAAATTGATACAGTTTAACAATTTATTAATACATTTTAACATTAAGTCTGTTCTCGTTCTCAGTTTTCCATTTTAATTTTTATGGATTCCATTTTAATGGTTTAATTAAGTTTTGACAATCAAAAGCAAGTCTAATCAATTGATTTCAAAACTTTTTCAAATGTCATAATTTATTTCTAATTTATGTAATTGTCTGTTTTAACTTTTTTAGATTTATGATTTAATACAAATTTATTATCAAAAATGAATTAGAGTGTCACAATGCATGCCTACTTCCCAAAAATATTTCATGTCATCATCTATTTTGTGAAATACACCATGACACATGATTTTAGTTATACCGCCCGTCCGTACCAAAAAAGGCTTCATGGTTGAAGGCTAGATGACTTCTTGTCAGATTCGAATCTTGGTCGTGGGAGTGCACCTCTATTACGCTTTTGTAATGGTGTGCAGTAGGTTGCCCAAGACTTCACTGCATCAATGGCATTTTGTCCTTGTGGAAAGTCACAAACCACCCACCAGGTCAGTGTTCTGTGTGGTGGAGAGTTGAGTTGATTGGCTCTCTCCTCTTGCTCAGCTGTTGCCTGGATGTGTTAATGTGCAGCGAGAGCTGATGGGCTTACTGTCATTCTGTCGATTGGGCTATTTATCAAAAGACAGGATGTATCGATTTGCCTCATTGCCCCCAGCGCTGGGAAACACCTACAGCTCAGCTGACACACACTCAATTAGGTGTTTACTAACAGTAAATATCTAATTTAACATGATTGGTCTCCTGTGTCTCTATCTGTGTGTTTTCATATAGAAACCTTGCTGGACGTTGAGGAGTTTGGAGGAGTTTCAGCTGTCTTGGCTTTATAATAATTACTAGCAGTTTGTTGTTAGAGATGCTTGGCGGCATTAAAACAGTTAAGCGCTCTTTAATATGCAGTCTCGTCCATGCTTGGTGATGTTGAAATTACAGTGCTAAGGAGCAAACGTTTTTGAGGTTTTATGCATGAATAATTGACGAATAGATTGTTGTTGAATGCTTTTTGTTCTGATTATGCTGCGTGAAGTTTTATGCATGGTAAAGACTTAAAAGCTTAATCAACCACTGCCAACAAAAGTGTTTAAGAAACATTAAAGTGTTTCTTTAAGATACATGCTTAAACCAAGAAATCAGAATTTTCTGTGTTTAACCCACAAAAACGTGAAAAACTTGAGCCTGAGTCGAGCATCACATTTTTTACATTGTCAGTCGAATGAGGAAAGCCTTCTTTGCATTTGTGTTTAGAAATACCACAAGCCACTGTGGTTTACCAAATGAGGAAGTTGCCTCCTGTTCTTTGAGAATGCAACTTTCTTTCATCCTTTCTTAGTTCACAACTGTCTCACTGAAGACGAGTGCTGCATAATGCTGTAAGAACTTTAACCAGTCAGGTGACGTAGGGTTAAAAAGCATGTGACTAGGTTTCTGACCTAAAGAGTACATTAGGTGTATTAGATCTGTTTTTTATTCATAATGAACTGTAAAATTTAGTGTAGATTGTACTGTAAAATGTTTACCAGATGTTCATGATGATGAACGTAGTGATTTCGTAATAAGCTGGTGAATGGAGGATTAGTGTATAAATGGTGCAATTTGTCTCTGCTGGCGTGGGTTATAATTATATTTATTTGGAAGGCAAGTAACTCAATTTTTTATTGGGCTTTAGCATGATATAAATTTAATTGATTAATGCTAATTTTTAGCATTGTCATCTAATGTGCTAAAGAGTACATTAGATATATTATTTCTGTTTTTTTATATAAAGAAAACTATATAAAAATGTATATACTATATAAATATTAAACTTTGGCTTGTATCCTGCATGTTTGTGCTGCAGAGATAATGTAAATGAAATCTCAAATTAGGCGACTTGTGGAAAGGAATCTTTTTAAATGGGCACAGGATGCAAACATCCATCATTCATGTTTGTTTCAGCAAAAAAAAAAATTATATCCAAAGTGGGTCCTGAGCCATATCTAGAGACCAGAATATCACAGGGACTTGCAGGTGGGTTATTTTCACTTGGACCAGCAAGTAAACGTGTAGCGACGCACTAAAAACCACTCAGAACACATTTTAAATTACTCGGGTTTAACTACTCAACTGCCACCTCGTTTTTTAACATAGATGTGAAAATGCACCGAATGAGATGCAGACCTTTCCAAGGATATGTGCTTTGTCAAGATTAGAAAAAGTTTTGATTATAAAATATTGTGGTAGCAGGATGCAGACAGTTAACCAGGTTAATACTGTATATAACAGTTAATCAAACCACTCTGAATTGTGGATTAAGAAACGTATCTGAATGAGGAAGTGCCACACAGATCTCACCAAGTGGAGGAAATGAGTGCTGAAAACTGATACCATCTTTGGAGCTCCTTGCTTATTTACGTAGCCAGAGGTGCTTTACAATTCATGCTCGAAGAATTTTTTATTAGGCTTTAGCGTGGTATAAATTGAATTGATTAGTGCTATTTTTATTATCATCAGTGGTGTTTCAGTGTTGATTGCCTCGTGATCTATGACCCTCTCCTCTCTGCTGCAGCATCCAACTCCAAGTGCTTTAAATAACGGCCATTTGAGACTCGTCCAGAGTTTGTTTAAGGCACCCAGGGCCTGTTTGATTACTGTTCTTAATCTTGTTTGGACAGATCCTATCTCGACTTTATCACTCTGAAACCTACTAATGGCTGAAGTTCGGCTTGGATGAGGGAGAGAGAGTACAAGCTGTAGAGTCAAATAGCTTTATAATTGCATTTTATATATTTTTTTGCATTGCACAAAGG